TCGTCTTCTACCTCGCGCTTTCTCGCGCTACCGCGTGCTCACGAACATTTTGGTCCTTCGAGCCGGATCATCGCCGGCAACCGCGAGTTCGGGAGTGCCTCCTCCAACAGAAGACGACCATGAGTCTCGACCAGAGCAACATGGTCAGCAGCCAACACGAACTCTTCAAACGTATCTCCAGAGCCGAAGAGAACTTGAAGAAGATGGGGCAAGCGAACATCACCCTCGCCGCCATCGAGACCCGCATTTGCATCCTCGACGACCTGTGGGCAAAGTTCGAGAGTCAGCACGACCTGATTCGAAACTGCTACAAGGATTCGAGCCGCTACGCTGAAAGTGAGTACGCTCAATCAGACTTACTCGAGGCCGCCGAGATGGCTTACGTGCAGCAGCGTAGCGTCCTGTCCGGCGAGGCCGATCGCCGCAAGCCCGCGCAAGCCTCCGCGCCGGTGGAGCACGGTACCGACCGCGCGTCGCGAACTTCGCTGCCCCGTATCCAATTACGGGAATTTTCGGGTTCCTACGAGGACTGGCCATCCTTCCGTGATCTCTTCAAATCAGTGATCGGTGAGCAGTCGTCCATCTCGAAAGTCGAACGGTTGCACTATCTGCGTTCATGCCTCAAGGGGCCGGCTGAAAACATAATAAAATCATTAACGATTACGGGCGAAAATTACGATCGTGCGTGGGAGCTGCTCTGCCAGCACTACGAAAATAAGAGAGAGCTGATACGCTCCAACTTCGCCACGTTTACCGCCGTGGCGAAGATGAAAGCCGCTACCGCCGACGAACTCAGCCGCGTCCAGAACGCCGTCACGTCCGCCGTCAATGCGCAGGAAAGCATCGGAAGGCCCATCGACTCGCACGGCATGGACCTTTTTAATCACCTCGTAGTCGAACTGTTTGACCCGCGAACGCGGCTGGAATGGGAGTCCTCCTCGGGAGACTCCTTCGAGCCGCCGACTCACGCTACGTTGATGACCTTCATCAACAAACGGATCCTCACGCTGAACGCAGCGAATCCAAAGACCACTAAACCCGCGAGTGAACAATCACGGTCCGCGAAAACTCACGTCGCGAAGCGTTCCGAGCCTTCTCAGTGTCCGCTCTGCAAGGGGAAGCACTCGCTCATGGGGTGCCCCGACTTCAAGGCCAAGGTGGCCAGCGAGAGGAAGACAGTGGTCGAGACTAATAAGCTCTGCTTCAATTGTCTCGGCAATCATCAGGTGGCGAAGTGCAAGTCAACCCGGAACTGCTTCACGTGCAACGCGCGGCACCACTCGATGTTGCACGACGCGTACGTTTCCGCGACGGCACCCCCCCGCGGAAGTCAGCACGCTTTCCGCCGTCGGAAAGGCCGACGACAGTAAGGCGATTCTTCTCGCGACCGCGCGCGTGATTATCGCCGATCGGCACGGAGATCCTCACGAGGTTCGGGTGCTCATCGACCAGGGCTCCGAAGTGTCGATCGTGTCGGAGTCCCTGGTGCAGCGACTACGCCTGCCGCGATCGCGCACGCGAGTGTCTATCTTCGGCATCGGCGGCTCCCAGTCGGGATCCACACGAGGCAAGGTGTCCCTGACCATCAAGTCGAAGACCACCGGAGCCACTCTCACCGCCGTCGCGTTCGTGCTTCCGCGTCTCTCGCTCTACCAGGGCGCCGCGAATAAGTGCTGCACCTCGTGGCTTCACCTCCGAGGGCTTCCTCTGGCCGACCCTCGCTTCGCCGCCAACGACCCAGTCGAGCTGCTGCTGGGCGCCGAGGTGTGCTCGACCATCCTGGAGGATGGTCTCCGCCGAGGCGAACCTCAAACGCCGATCGCTCAGAAAACCATCCTGGGATGGATTCTTTCAGGGGGCTGTGGTGCGACCCTCCACTGTCACCACAGCTCACTCCAGTGTACCGCCGACCATGACTTGGCCGAGCTGGTCCGCCGTTTCTGGGAGCAAGCGAGCGAGCCTCCCGCCTCCGTCGCGCTCACCCCCGAGGAAGAGGAGTGCGAGCAACACTTTGTACGCACTCACGAGCGCACACCCCCTGGCCGGTACGTCGTCCGACTGCCGTTCTCCTCGACGCCGGAGCACCTCGTCGAGACCCGCAAGCCCGCTGAGCGACTACTCAAGGCCATGGAACGCAAGTGCGCCCGGGATCTCAGGTTCGGAGAGCTCTACCGCTCGTTTATGCGGGAGTACGAGGACCTCGGGCACTTGGAAGCCGTAGCACCGTCGGACGAGAACACAACTCGCGGCGTGTGCTACCTCCCACACCACGGCGTGTTGAAAGAAGCCAGCACTACCACCAAACTCCGCGTAGTGTTTAATGGCTCGCAACGCACCAGCTCCGGAGACTCGCTCAACGACCACCTCTTCGCAGGCGCAAATCTCCTGCCGGCACTTTCTGACGTGCTCTTGCGCTGGCGTCGGCACCGCTACGTGATGATCACCGACATCGAGAAGATGTATCGCCAGATCATCGTCCACCCGGAAGATCGTGACCACCAGCGGATCCTGTGGCGAAGTGCCGTCGAACTACTCGTGCGCGTTCTCCGCCTGACAACGGTCACCTATGGCCTCACGTGCTCACCGTGGGTCGCGATTCGCACGCTCCTGCAACTCGCCAAAGACGAGGGGGCTCGGTTTCCGCGTGGCGCGATCGCTCTCGAGGACGACCGATACGTGGACGATGTCGTGACCGGTGCGGACACTATCGACGACGCGGTTGCCGTGCAAACCGAACTGCGCGAACTCTGCACGGCGGGCGGGTTTCCGTTGCGCAAGTGGGCCGCGAACTCCGAAGACGTTCTCGTCGGCATCCCGCAGGAACACCGCCTTAAACGCGCCCTCCACGTGTGGGAGACAGACGGACACTCCACTCTCGGCCTCCGCTGGCACCCGACGGAAGACGAATTTTCCTTCGCGATTCGTCCGCGCGCAATCACCGTATTCACAAAGAGGCGCGTCCTCTCGGAAACCGCACGCTTGTTTGATCCATTAGGGTGGCTCACCCCCGTCGTGATCCGAGCGAAAATCCTCATCCAGTCCACCTGGCTGAAGGGGCTAGACTGGGACGCCCCTCTTCCGTCGGCCGACGCTCAACAATGGGGGAGCTTCCTGGAGGAGCTTCCGCGGCTTGAACTCGTTCGCGTGACCCGCTGGCTCGACAGCGGAGCGGATTCAAGAGTCGAGATCCACGGATTCGCCGACGCGTCCGAGCGAGGCTACGCCGCGGCCGTCTACCTCCGCGTCACGAGGAACGGTTCCGCCACACTGCACTTGCTCATGGCAAAGAGCAAGGTAGCCCCGATTCGACAGGTGTCCCTCGCTCGACTCGAACTGTCCGCGGCCGCACTGCTCACTAAATTAACGCGACACGCTCGCGACACTTTACGCTTGTCCACAGCACCGATCTTCCTTTGGTCCGACGCCCGGGTGACACTTTACTGGATCAGGGGTCACGCATCCCGGTGGAAGACGTTCGTGGCCAACCGGGTATCGCTGATCCAGCGAACTCTACCCGAGGCCCAGTGGCGGCACGTTCCTGGACGAGAAAACCCGGCCGACTGCGCTTCCCGGGGGATCGCGCCCAGCGAGCTGATCGGCCATCCGCTGTGGTGGACGGGTCCACCGTGGCTGCGGGAGGACCGAACCCAGTGGCCCGCCGAGAGCGACGAGATCCCCGACGCGGAGATGCCGGAACGGAAGGCCGTCGTGCAAGCCGCCGTCGGAAGGATCGACACGGAGCCCGACACGCTCCTTCGATTCTCGTCACTGCACCGACTGTTGCGAGTCACCGCGTGGTGCCTACGATGGCGACGCACCACCTCCCGCACCAACGATCACGGCCCGGACGATCGGGCGCCAACACTCACTCCGGAAGAACTCGACGCGGCACACGTCCTTTGGCTTCGAATGGTGCAATCACTGCACTATCCGGAGGAAATCAGGGCCGTCACCGCCGGCCGCACTGTGCCGCACCGCAGCTTACTTGCAAAGCTGAGTCCCTTCCTCGACGATCACGGCGTGCTCAGAGTCGGAGGGCGACTCAAACACGCTCTGATTCCGGACGACGAACGCCATCCAATGATCGCTCCCTCGGAGTCCTGGCTCACTCGCCTGCTCGTGGAGTCTTGCCACCGACGAACACTCCACGGCGGAGTGCAACTTACGCTCGGTACTCTCCGGCTCCGCCACTGGATTCCACGAGGCAGAGCCGTGGTGAAACGGCTGCTGCATCGGTGCGTCACTTGCACCCGATGGCGAGCCGCCACGCCGCAACCACCGATGGGCAGTCTTCCTCGGGCACGGGTCACTCCGGCGCGTCCATTTCAACGAACCGGCGTGGATTACG